CTCAGCGAGATTTCTACCATAGAGCTCGTGACACATACGTTCCCCGTGTCAGTTTTCCAGTATCAGGTCCCAAGCCAGAAAAGCCTTGTTTTCTTTTGCCATAACCCTGGTCATTTGATAGCAGACTGTGCAGCTTTGAAGCGAAAGCAGGCCGCCACTATGCCGGATGAGGAAGGGGTTGTGCTATCACGCAGTGGTGTTTTGGCTCTGAGCAATTCTCCTCATCGTGTTGGTTTCCGGAAAGCTCGTAACAGGCGTGCCACACATGCTCATTCTGTTTCTCTTCCAGGACCCAAGAAAAAGAGATTGTGCTTCTTTTGTCTTGACCCTGGTCATCTGGTGGCAGAGTGTGTAGCTCTGAAGAAGCAGGTGGCAGCTTCCAAGCGGTCTGTGGAAAAGCCAAAAGACCGGCACCCAGTTGCAATGCGACAGAGTGGTGAGTTGCAGTTAAGTTCTGCGTCAGTCTGTGACAGTGCTGTGGGTGTTCCCGTCTCTGAAGCGGTGGGTGTGGACCTGGCTCAGAGCGATGTGGATCAGTGTTCAGTGAGTGATGTGTCCGTTGTGTTCCATGTGTTGCTCCGGTGTTGGCTGCTTGTGAGCAGTATAACGTGTGTTTTATGGGGGGGGGGTGTTACGTGCCGCAGTTGGTGCTTGTGTGTGTCTCTCTCTCTCCCTGATTGTCCCCAGGTGCAGCCTCTCCCCAGGTGCTCCCAATCCTCAATCAGGGCCTCCATAAAGGACCTGAGGAAGGATGCAGTGGCCTCTCTCCTTCTCCTCTGGCTGCCTGTGTTTAGGTGAATTGTTTGGAGATGTGCTCCAGTTTACCTTTTTGTGTATTGTTTAATTTAGTCACTTTCTTTAAGAAGAAAGTTGTTCTTAGTTACTTTAAGTTTGTTTTTGCAAATTGGCTGGTGAGCCCGTGTTCTTTTTGTCCATTAAAAGACCTGCTCGTGGCTTCAGAGATTCCTCTTTTTCTCGGGCCTGGTCATCTTTGTGTTTTGTTACTTCCCTTTGTACCCCTAGATTTGGAGTGAACGTAACAATAATGATATGGCTTATGCTGGTTAAATAAAGTGATTTCTGTCAGTTAGATAGTGGTGAGCTGAAATCATAATTTCCGAGTATGGAGAGATTCTCCGACTATAAAATGTTTTAATCTGCCAGTTAAACAATATTCAAGATTTCAGTGTGGGACAGAAATATTTGTTACCTTGGATTCTGAATTTGTTCAGTATGAATAAAGGTTACACAACTGAATTCTTCATCAAATCATTAAACATTACTGAGTGATGATAAACATTCAGACGAGTCCTAGTTACTTCTTCCCTTTAGGCATGAGCTAACGCACTAATGCTATATTTGAGATATTTAATAGAACACGTAGCGAAACACATTGTAACATACCGTTCCCCCCATATGGGCTGGCAGGTACTCGGGGTCTATGAATCCATGGACCTCAGATCTGGAAGCAAACTTGAGCTTGCTGACTGCCTCGGGACCCAACCAAGACTTCACAATTTTCCACGCAGCTGAAAAAGAGACAAGTCATGCTCCAGAAGTCAGAATCAGATTGTGATCGGCAGAGAAATAAACATGTTTGTAGGACGGGCTAGGAGGACGCTTTCTCACCATTCATGATCCAAGGCATATCCACGATGATCATTTTGGCTGAAATGATCAAGAAAAGTAAAAAGCTTGTCCATTAGAATTGTTCTTAAAATACCCAGGTTTGGTTGTAAATCATTAATATTTCCTGAGACCTTTGTTACTTACATAAAAACTTTGGATAATATACTTTGAAGCAATTAATGATGTACTTCACAAACTCCATGTCCTGAAACACAAAGTGGAAAATGACAGGGATTTAAAAAAGTTAAACCGAATACAGAACCGGCATTATTCTAAATAAGGAGAATGTATGTTCAATTTTAAACACCTCTAGATCTGAAGTACTTCAATAGAAAGAAAATGTATTAAATGATCCACTCACAAATACTGACCATATTTATTATAGTTACTAACCATTTGATTGCTTTTTAAGGAAACTGCGTTCCCAGAAAACAAGAAAAAAATAAAATAAATGGAACTAAATTATAAAGGGCTTCTGATTAAAACAGATTATCTATCAACGCTTTAGTTAGTGAAAGAAAATCAACTGATGAAATAGATTTTATAAATCTCACCTGGAAACAACTATCCAGGTGAAACACTTCAAACCAGTTTGTATGTGAATATGATGAATGATCATCTTACTTTTTAATGTTAATCATCAAACCAAACCGGCGGCATGTCAATAGAAACAGCGTCTAGATCCCGGCTCGGCTCCATAATTGGCTCGGAGCCTCATTGCTATGCAGGAGACTCTCCAGAGCTTTAATGAGATCATACTGGCTAGCCTTAGCTCTAGCTTCACTGTGGTTCAACAAGGCGGCAAACTGATTTTCTAATCTACTCATTTCATATTTGGGTTGCATAGCTATTTATTATTTTTGCAGTGCTTGTTTATTTGTATTTAACTGAGCCATTTCTCTCCGAGAGAGCCTAGCCAATGAAATGCACTCTGACAGAGAGCTCAATCAAGGAGCTAACGCTGTGTGAAACAGCGAGTCTGCGGATTAGACAGTCCACTCGAATTGACCAACGGGATTTAAAGGTTACTTTAATTTACGAAGAGTAAAACCATTAAAGAGCATCAGTCCCTGCAAGACCACCACTCAAACAGCAAGAAGGGAGAGGATACTCAACAGCATTTCAAGGACACTCACTGGAAGGAAACAGTCTTTTATAACATGAAAGTAAAGCTTATTTAATAGAGGGAGAGCAAAATGCAATATAAGCTTTGTCTTGGAGACCTGGATATTATTACAAGAAATGAAAGAACTTGACAGAGAAAGAAGAAGTGATACGATGACAAAAAACTAATTAAAACACATGATGGACTTACTATATTGCTGAGGCCAGACTCTGCCATATCAAAGATAACAGTGAGCGGCATTCCAGGTTCCTTCTTCGCATACCGCTCCAGCCAGAAGGCCACGTACTTCTTCTTGTCCATGATAGTTTTAGTATCCTTGACGTGAAGCTTTACCTTGAACCAGACTAAACATAGTAAACAGAGATTCAAAGTTATTCATTAAGGTTTTATAATGCTACAGTGTAGAAATGGCAATGAAAGTCTTGTGACCTGAGCTCCTCCAACAATCCAACAGATATAATCAAACATAAAAATAAAAATGAAGAAGTAGTGCAAAAAGTCTGTATACATGTAAATAGAATATCATATGTACAAGAACAGAAAATAAAATAATGTAAATTAAATACGGTTTATTGCTTGGATAACTATTTATATAAATAAGTAAATTGCAAGATGAAAAGTTGAAAAAATAAAAGTTGTATATTTGTGAAGAGATTAAGGGACAATCTCAATGCAACAGATAACTTGTAAAGAAACGCTAAGTTGTACATGTTTAAGAGTGTACTGTAAGGAGGGGCTGTAATATAACATGTACACATACAGAGTTTGTTGCCCTCTTTGTCATAGCCGTGGAGATAGACAGCGCCAGTCTCGAACATCCATCTGGGGATGGCGCTCTCAGTGAGATCTGAAACACACAGGCAGAAACACAACACTGTTAACTGGTGTCTGTCATACTTTGAATATTAGCTGTACAGAACATGGAAGGTAGGCTAAAGGCTGAAGTTGCTTGAAATCGTTTTCTTCAAGACTATTGGCTCCTGAATTTAACTACTTATCTAATTTGAAAGGCACATCATATTTAAAGTATAACTCTTTAAGTTTTTCGTAATTTAATAATTGTTATCATGTCTGGAAGGGTGTGAATCTTTTGGCATCTCACAATTCACTTTTCAGTGCAATTCGGTGCATATGGGTGCTAACTTCAGGATCTACTCCAGTCCGCTGCATGTTAGTAAAAGGCACATTATTGCATGAAAGCAGAGTAAATTGTGTATAAGAATATGGAGATTATATACTGTACTCTAAAAAGTTATATCCAATGAACTTCCTCAACTAAACGTTTTTTTATATTTTTTTCTCAGTGACTTTAACTATAGCAAGTTCAAGTTATAAAAAAAAAAAAAAAGATGCTTGTTACTTCATTCATATAATTGTTAGGCTTTGAATAGTTGCCTTTTCATTTCTCACAAACTTCCCAATTCCAAATAATTTTAACAAAAAACTGTATTGTGAGATTTTTCAAAATATCACACAACAATAACTGACAACAATTTGCTGTCCATCACTAGCAATAACTAGCTTGTTTTGTAGAAAATATTGAATTTAATGATCATAAATACTTTCTGTAAGCAGTTAATCAATTGAAGATCCGGGTTGATAAGAATCTGCATTATTCCCAAAGATAAGTCATCGGAATTTATAATATAAATATTACTCAAATTGGTTTGTAACATTCATGTAGGTGAACCAGGACTGGACAGATGCACTTTTCCATTTTAGAGCAAGAGGTGTTTCGCAGTTATTATTTAATACTTAAAAAAAACTATTTTTTGAGGATCCCAGCTTCCCTATAACCTAAAAAGTGCTTCAATTCCTTTCAATAGATCAATAAACAAACTAACAACATGACTTAATTATATCAAGTTATACTAAAACAACTACTTGATATATTGAATTTGCTGGATTAAAGACTAACAAACAACAACTCTGGGAAATTCCTCAGGAAACAGAGAGTGGGACTTGTTCTCGGCGATATGGGTGTTTAACACACAATGGAACTCTGTCCGGATTCATTCTAGAGCAGCACAAAGACAACCGCTGATGTCTGTCGGTCGAAACCTTCAACCAACAACAAATAAACATTGCATGTCAACATTTATACTTTTAGAAGGACCGGTTAAACTTGATACTGATAAAGCTATGCATGTCGCACTAGATAAGGAAATGTTACAGTATCCAAAATATATCATTGGTCTGATTCATTATCTTGGTATCTAGGTCATGTAGATCATTTTGGATCCCGTTGTATTTTTGACTTTTTATTTTAATTATCCAGAATATTTTATATTGTTTATATTTTATATCATATTTTT